CAAATACTCTTCACAAAATACATTAACACACAAGACTGAAGAAAAGTAAGAAGTAGTAAACCAAGGAAAGTACACACTTTCCTCTGAAACACACAAACGCACACATGTAAAGACTGGCATATAGAAATAGAGAAAAGAAAAACAGAGCCGGACTAACAGAGTTAATAAAAGCTCCTTTGCGATGGTACCCTGCAGTTCTTCCACTCACCAGGGAGAAACCACTCGGCAGAGGCACTCACAGACAGGTCACGCTTGCTGGTTTCCTTAAAGGTCAACTCATCTACTTAAGAGGCTCCAATTTACTTTAATGCACATTGTCCAAAAGAAGAAAAAAAAATAAAAGCAGAAAGAAAAGGAAATGACAAGAAAAAAAAACACACCACAGCATATAGCTGGAATATTCTCAAGTGTGTCCTTTTCTCTTCCAACTACAACTGCTCTTTGTTCTCAGAGGACGACTGAATAAATATTTGATTTCGAAAGAAATAAAGAATGATAAAGATGGCCACATGGTTTTAAAATAAGCAATGTCTTAGATGATAGGCCAGAGTCCAGTTACCACATCATCAGCAGTGCTCTAATGACCTTCTTTACAAAACAAACTTCAGTAAGTGCAGTAGGGAAATAGTCTTCCGAACAGCTCACCAACAGTGGGGGAAAGAGGAGAAGGCCTCTTGACAGACTCTTGTAGATGCCTTTCCCTATCACGCAATGCCTCTCAGTCATAAACACATGACAAATGCAGCCTTAATCATTTTTTACGAGCGGGGATGTGCAGGGGGCAGCGCATGGCTAGAGGGGAGAGGGGAGCTGCGAGCAGCAGGCGGCCCCCTCTGCACAGAGGAGAGGGCTGTGTGCTAAAGTCTCCACTGGAACATCACTCGGCCAGCGTGCCTTTGATCTCCGCACCGCAATTACACCAGCATCCAAATGAGCGTGGAGTCGCCTCTGAAACAGACTTCAAACATGGGCATGTACGCATTCTCATGCACAGGAACTGTATAGGATTCGAGCCATGTGCTCCTCTCGACAGTAAATGATGTTCTGTCTCCAGCAGAGAACCTGAGGATGAAAGGAGGCCTTGCTCCTCGTCTGATCCCTTCATTAATGATGGCTTGCTAACACTAATACTGTGTATTCTTGTCTAAACAAGGGCAGCTTGGTATGTGGTTCCCATACTCCAAAGCAATGATCTAACATGGCTCTAGCGGAGCAACTTGTTAATACGTTAATGTATGCATTAAACATGGCTAAATGGTCAATGGAGGCAACATTATGAGCAAAAAAAAAAAAAACAAAACATGTTTCCTGGGGTATGTTGCTAATATTGACCTAAATCTCACTGGTTAGCATGCACTCAAAGACGCACTTCAAATAAAAACAGCTCTTGAAGAAAGACGTGAACCTGGGGAATGGCCTGAATGGGCGTCCCAAAAAGTCACGGATAAAATTTGCCTAATTCTACGATCCGCCGTCTTCCTCTGCACATTAAAGATAAGATTGCAGTTTGTCTTGCTGTTTGCTTTGAATAGTTCTTAACCGTATCATCATCTCAACTGCGGTGGTGGAAAAACACGGGTGCATGGCGACAGGCAAATGGCAGTCTGGCGTCTCTGCAGCAGACTAGCTGCCATTAGGGCTGAGAGCAGCATTTATTGTACAATTAGGGCCAGCGAGATCTACCTGTAATCATCTCCATACAGGTGTGAGCTCCTCTCTGGACAAGGGAAGTGACTCATCATGTCAAACGTCAACACTTTGATGTCAGCATTGTTCATTGCAGAGCCCTTGGGGAGTGCTACTGTTTAGCTGTTTAAAGCGTTCAAATATTTACGGTGCTTCACACCTTAAAAAAAAAAACACAAAAAAAAGGAAAAAGAAAGCTATTTTCCCCCTGACAACGGATGTTCCTCTTGTCATGAATCATTTGATTTATGAGCTCTTCCTCCTCCCCCTTTCTGACAGGTTTACATTTCTGACAGGAACATTTTAACAAACAGTCATAGATAAACAACTTCTCTTGAGTTACAATGCCGTCAAGTAAAGCTCCATAAATAATCTCTTTTTCTTTATTCGTAAAACCTGACAGAAGGCTGGAGGCAAGATGGAAAAGTGTGATAACAATTCACTGATTTGGTACTGGGGACAAAACAGCTGTTATTTAGAGAGGTAGTCCTCCATACTTAGCCAAGCAGTGTGCATTAAACATTTAGGATAGATAATCTTACAAGTTCACAAAAAAAAAAGTTTTGCAAGAAATATTATGATTAAAAATTATTCACAAGTGCCTGATGCTTTTTTTACCTTCTGCAACATTACAGGAGAGTCAAATAAATTTTCCGTATCAATGTTTTACAAGAGTTCTGAAGAGTTTTTGCAAAATCATCTAACTGCAGAATATAGGAAGAAAATCCACTAGAAGCACAGGCCTCCCACCAAAAGAAGCTTGTTCACTTCTGTTTGTAAAATTGCACAAATCCACCTGTTGATTTTGTTTGAAAGGTAACCTCCACTAAGCCCGGCTAGAGACACCAAACTGAAGATAATGCAGACACGAGAAATTTAACATGATCTCAAAACCTGTGAATTAGAGGTCACAGAGCTTTTTTTTTAGATTTTCAGGTAAATCTTATGATATCAAACAAGGTATTTGCAACATTCTGATTCCATATATCTTTTGTAATGATCCTGTAAAAGTTTAACTTGATCTGGAAATACTTTTGCAATGTCCTGCAAAGTTTTTAGGTCACAGGTAGAGTTTGCGAGATCTGATAAAAGTTTTGCAAGATTGCAAATAACTTTAAACAATCATTATAAGTTTTCCTACCTGCTTCACAACTTTTACAAAATCCTGCTAAGAAATGTAATTTTCTTTTGCACAGTTTCTGCCAAAGCTTTGCCAGAAACAGAGTTAATAAACAATATTCTACACAGTTTTTAACAGATTGTGAATTTCTTTTTGTGACATTTCATAAATAATTGGCTATGTGCTGAATTCTTTGGTCAGACACCACAGACGTTTTGTAGCATTCCAACTTACATTTTGTCATAACCCCTTAGAATTTTGCAAGGTGCCAAATGAGTTTTGGCAATATTCAGAAAAAGTCTTCCCAGATCCAGATTCACTTTTGTGAGTTTTCACAAACATTTTCTGCAAAAGCATCTAAGCAAAATATCTCCACCAATTAAACAAGACCTACACCAAACATTTGGATATTTTTATGTTTTCTCTTTGGTTTTACATTTTGTTTAAGGGGTTTGTAACTTTTAAAATTTCTAAATAAATAGAATACTCATAAATGAAAGCAAATTGTTTAAAAGTTACACAACTTAAAAATGACCCATTTTCATGCAGATACTTGAACATCTACGATTGAGTTGCACACTGACACATTCAGACTAACATTAATGTAGCAATTTAATAATGGTGCACTATTCACTTTATTGCTCACTATTGTAAAAATCCATGCATTATTTTCTTTACATCCATATCATGTAAATGTTGTATCTCCATTATATAATTTGTTTGCTTTTCTTTATATTAAACTGTTAAAGTTTGTTATTGTTTAAATTAACTGTAGAAATTATGACTACAAATCTCAGTACATTATTTCTGATCCTGTTTTGGAATAAAATAAAACAAGACATGGACTGATAGGACACTTTCAGAATATGATAATATGGTAAAAAAAATATGGAATAAGCCACAACAAAACCTTGTTGTAGTTTTAAGTGCTTATTGCACAGAAAGTTAAAACATGTCTGTCATTCTAAAAAGGTTAAAATAATGAGGGGTAATACATTTATAGTAACTTGTTAATTAGTCAAGATATTTGTGAGCCAACTGACATTTTTAACCAGTTACATGTATAAGACTGATAAATGGTGCTCCTTTAATAACCACAGCATGAATGTCCATGTTTATAGTGACTGAAAGTACTTCCAAATAGTTAAATTAGTTCATCTTAAAGGAAAGAAAAAATGTCAGAACGTGTGCTCAGCTAGCTCGACGGTAAGGGCAACAACTATGCTACAGGGCAGAGATAATTATTTTGACCCATCTCTTTCTCCTCACTGAAAAAACTCTATGTATAAAAAACTGTGTAACAGAAGGTTCTTATACATTTTGCATCTTTTAAACAACCTAAGAATTTGTGTGATTTTGTGTGAAACTACCCCCAGCTGAGAATCTCTTCTCACCTGTCTTCTAACTATATAAACTAGACTTGTAGTTTATATTGCGGTGTGAAATCTTATCCTCAGTCTGTCAACATGACCACCCTACTGCAAAGCAAGTTGTACATAGCTGTGTTTAATAAAAAGTTTATTAGGAATAAAAGGATGCATTCATCTGTTCATCATGGCCGCCTGAGTTGTTGTGTTGAGGCGTGGGAGTTTCATAGGCATAAAAAAAATGCTTGTAAAGCAAGAGAGACAACATGTGAAGACAAACCCAACTATTTGGAGCAAAAAAAAAAAAAAAAAAAAACTTCTGTTAATTTGTGTCACTATGATTCATCACTTCGCCTCCAGATGATATTAATCACTAGTTTTGGCTTTAAATGTACACATGCTTGTTTTGTCACTGGAAGCACCTCCTCCTGCTTTGATATCGCATGGAAATGAGAAATTTTGATGTAAAACAAGGACCATATGCTTGTGCGCTTTTAATGAAGTGCACAGTCTGGGGGCTGTGGTTACAGTCTGCAGGGCTGGATGTTGTGTTGCGAGTTTTACTCATTGCCACCTCCCGGCAGAATCTCTTTCAAAGATGTGACCGTTTGCACCAGCAGGAGACTACAGTCGGCCTCATGCATCTGCAAATGGATGCACGCAGAGGGGGGACCCATGCATGTTCTACTGCTGACCGCACAATCAGTGAAAAGTTAGTTAAAATGAATGCAATTTCTTACATAAGAAGAAGATTTAAAAAAAAGAACTCTTTGGTGGTGATTAGTCAGTGCAGCTAGTATGCCCACACCCTTCTTCTAAGCACTTACCATTTGTTCTTCCTCCTTATGTAGTCTTTCTCAGACAGATTAACGAGGTAGATCATTGGTTTGGATGTCAAAAACAAGTATTTGTTCAACACTTCAATCTGTGGAGGGAAGAAAGACGAGTTCTGAGAACCGAAAACTTTCCAAAAGTGGTCTTTGAGGGGAGCACAGACATGGACAAATGAAGCCAAATGAAATTATAAGCTCTGCAGGGGGCGGCTAGGAAAAAAACTAAATCAAGATCAGACTGGCCAGATGTCATTAGCTTGTATAAAAGTTAGATTTAACAGAAAAGAATAAGAACATGAATGTAGCAGATTTACTTTCAGGTCACATAAAAGGATCTTCAAGATAAATCACTTTAGTAAATTGAACATTTGCATCAAAGTCTTACCTCCTTATCGTTCCAGTCATGATAGTAACGAACATGCTTCTTTTCATCCACAACCCAGCTCTTTACTTTGCACATAACGTCCTGTTTGGGGTTGAAACAGAATGAACAAGAAGCCATTAAAGGAGATGAAACAGAATAAACCCAGCAGGGTATGGGGTAATTATTTCCTAAATGCATGGCATCCTGATGCCAAAGGGAACAATGGCTTGAGCTCGCATTCAGGCAGGAGTGGCCTTGCTTAGACAGGGGAAGGCAGGAACAAGACCCCTTCCTTTAAGGCCTGACAAAATGCCTTCTGGGGTGTCTCAGCTCCACCGGGACTGTTTAATGAAAAGGAAAGACAAAATTGGAAAGAGCAGAGGAACTAATTGGGAGTTGGTTAGTAAAGGTGTAAATTATTGGTCCTTCCTCGGGCACTTTACAGAGCGCAGTCATACTGAATAAGCACTTGTGAGGTGAGGCGCTAATTATTCACTGTTTCTGAAAATATTGAGCATTTACCGCTACGTACACCGCATTCATTACTGACGCACTTGTGGGCTGAGACCACAGGCGAGACTGGGTCTTGACAGGATCTGGAAGCGGAAAGGGGTGGGAAAATGGGAGGGGGCAGTTATAAAATTTGTAATAAAGAAATTGAGCCTATTATTGTTGATCCAGCCCCGCAGAAATTAGCGGAACACACTCTTTTTGTTCCTGTCAACTTGACCTCCCCCTTCATATAAAAACTCCCCCACCCCCTGCAACACTCTCCCTGCCTCCTTCTTCCCTCCCCGAACCCTTGCAGCACTTCACAATCATACTCTCTTTTGAAAGAACTGAGGAAAAAAATCCTGCCAGAGCCTCAATTACACAATGGCAGAAAAAGCTCCACACACTGACCCCCAGCCAGCTGCATTCACTCTCTGCACATCTCTCTCTGCAGGAATTCTAAAGGCCTTTTAGTCAGGCAGCCAGAGTGCAGCCAGCGGGAGAGAGCGCAGGAAGAGCTGCATACACTCCGCCCGCGCCGGCCCAAGTCTTCACAGAGAGATTAATCATCTGTGAAATGGAAACAGCAAACGGCCGGTGACACGGGCTGAACCCGCTCCAGGATTCCCTCATCAGCTCGCAGCCGCCTTGCAGCACTCCTCTAACAGGCAGGTGTTAATAAAAGGCATATAGGTCCCACAGGGGTCAAACACATACGCTTGCCACCATGGAGCGCCGCTGGAGGGCCGGTTTCTTATTATTGTTTTGCGGAGGAGAGGGATTTTTGAGGATCCATGTGGACTGAAAATGATGGAAAGTTGTTTTTGTAAACACAGTGCAGCCAAAAATGGATTTACAACAATGCATATATATGAGCTATGTGTTCCTGTATGCAAGTGCATTTATCTTTGACTCATCCCAGAGGAAAATCTATTATTTTATCATAATAGCAAATATTAGATTTTTCTCCACTACTCTATAACTAAATGTATGAAATCTCTTAAAAAAAAAACATCCACAGGTTTTCTTTAAAAACATGTTTCCTGGCTTTATAATCAAATCCTTAAGCTGTTTTCTCCCTCTGTTTTTGCATAAAATGCTCTTGATATGGGTTGAAAATTATAAATGTATTGTAGTTTTGTGTATCTTGAGCAATATATGATCCCATCCAACTTCCATAGATTTTAATGGTTTTATAAACTCAATGAGAATATTAAAATTTTCCACCAGTCCCTACTTTGCCTATTTCTAAATGCTTCACAAAAGATTCTCCAGGTTTTTAGCAATCTGTATAAGAAGCCACATATTCTAAGATTGTATTGTTTTAAGTTACTATCTTAAAAAAAATACATTTATATCTACGACAATAACAGACAGAAGTAGTGAAATAGAGTGTGTTTCTTATTTTCAGCGTATTCTTATCCATTGAATATTATCACATTTGTGACATTATATCCACAAAACCTTTTTTGGATGTGAGGTGATTAATTAGTGCCAACTAACATATCATTTTTTAAGGAAACGACATAACCCCTTTCCTTGCACACCCTTATAAGTGCCATAAAAAGTCTGTATTGGTAAATGCAGTTTATCATTTTGTAATCTTAATATAAAGCAGCAGTTCTGGGAAGGCCTCAGAGATTTGTCAGTAAAAGTCAGTAAGAGACCATGAAGGCCATACAACAGGGCAGGGAGAAGGTTGATGAAAAGTTAAAAGGAGGGTTAGGTTATATAAGGATATCCAGTGTTTGACATCTCACAGAGCAGCCTATTTTTCAGTCTATTATCCCAAACTAAGAAAACAATATGACATGACTGCAAACCTAGCAAGACATGGTAATTCAACTACACTGACAGGCCAGACAAGGAGAGCGTTATTAAGGAGCTGTGGGCCCCAATAGTTGCTCTAGATCAGAAGCAATGATTCACAGCCATAGTGTGCGGATAATCTGTTGACACAATAGCTAATAGTCATGCAGATTTTAGAGCTGAAATAAAAAGCCTGTAGAAGAGGCAGCTCCCCTCAGATAGGTCACTTGTCAGGATTAGGAAATGCTTTTCTTATCTTATCTTAACTTATCTTATCTTATCTTATCTTATCTTATCTTATCTTATCTTATCTTATCTTATTTTATCTTATCTTATCATGGTGGTCACAGCCTCATGCTGTGGGTCTACTGATCCTAAGCAGATAATCAGAGCAGATGGGATTTTGGTTTGTATGAAATACAGGGAAATCCTGCAAGGAAACCTGTGAAACTGGGGTAGAAGGTCAATTTTAAGAAAGTATGAGGATACTAAACATACTGCCAGAGCTACCATGCGATGAATATTGATGTTTTAAAATGAGCCCCCTCAAAGCCAGACCTAAATCTAATTGAAAATCTAAGTCAAGACTGAAAATTACAGTTCTCTATCTTTCCAGCCAATCTCACTGATGGAAAGATATAATAACAAGAAGAAATTGTATTATAGATAAACAAAGCCAGGAGAAACATAACACTAAAAAACTTTCATTTTGGTAAAGGGGTAGTTCTATAAATTATTAGTTAAGGGAAGCTGAGTGCATATTCTTTTCAATTCACACAATATTATAATTTACTGGGACAAAGCAAATCATGTTATTTATAATTTCATGACACTAAACAACTTTACTTTTTAATTGCTTGGGAGAATTTTAAAAACTGAGGTTATTTTCCTCTTTTTTTTCTTCTACACAGTTTTGATGCTCTGTTTATGTGGAGCAACATAAACACATGGGTGTGATCCTGCGCCCAGCTCGTCAAACCCTGGACTCAGCCTGCAAGGCAATCACACAATCCCCCTCCTGCCTGAAAGCTTGCTTCAGCTCTTTGATGGTCGCCATTCTTCAGCCCGTCTAGAGAGGTTCTTCTATAGATTCTCAGTTGCCAACGCGTGCACAACCTTTGACAAGTAATGTAGATTATTTTTATTCATTGCCTAAAATTGTTAGCAATTATGTCAGTAAGCGGCCACCTGCCTAGCCTGAATGGCTCCTGTCTGTGGGGCGTTGGGGAGGGCTGCTGGCTGAAAGAGGAAGGATGGTGGTTGTGGGTAAGGAAGGCGGGAGGGAGGTGGTGGTGGTGGGGGGCGGGGTAGGGTTGTCTGTAGCAAAACCAACCAGTTAAAGGGGTGTCTGCAGCAGGTGAAATAGCCCCCCTCGTTAGTGTAATGAGTGGTCAGATCTAAGATTGGGAAGCACCACTGTGAGAGAACAGCCAAATATATTCCTTACCAACCAGTCTGTTCATTCCTGGTCCAATGATAGGTCAGCTTTAAATCCTCACTGAGGTTGCCCTCCCGGCCTCATTACTCCCAACAATAAAACAATCCGAGCACATGTGATTCCACGCTTAGCTTTATCTGACATCCAGGATGCAGATCTACATTTCCTTGGTCTAACCTGCATTTTTTTGTTTTGTTTTTTTACTCTGCACCTCTGACAAACTGTCAAGGATTATTCTAAACATTTACCGTATTCATAACCTGGTATAGGCATATGTGTCAGCCACTGTATGGCCTTAAACAATTTCCCAAGCTGCTGTAGGAGGATAAGCACGAGCAAGAGCGGCGCCATGATTTGAGTATTACTTTAGATGAAAAGAGCTGTGTGGAAACACTTTCATTAGCCCAGTGCTGTGACCCAGGGTCGGCAGCTGAATAAGTAACACTCTATTAATGATTTCTACAGCAGAAAACCCCTGACCCCTGATCACTTTCAATCGCAGAGAGGGAAAAATGGGCCAGGGGGAGGGGGAGAACCTATTGGAGGGAGATTAAAAAAAAAAAAAAAACATACTTTTTTCTGCACGGCCGTGTGTGTGGGAGGGTTATTATTTGTGCCTTGCTGTGAGGGGGAGCAAAGGGCCTGCTGGGACATTGACTCACATATTCTGGTTTGAGTTTCTTGTCACCGCCTCTAATGGCCGTCTTCTCCAGCTTGTCGATAATGGGGACGATCATCTCCACATCCTTCAGCCTCAGCTCCTCATGGATGATCTCCATATCTCGAACAGGGTCCACAGTCCCCTCCACATGGATGATATCCTCATCCTCAAAAGCCCCTGTTGGGAAAGGACACAAACACACACAGAGAAATAAAAAAAAAAATCCTTTATCTCAATAACAATACCTTTGATTTATGTGAATAACATGTAATACAAAGCAAAAGATCAGAACAGCAAAATCAATGACATTGACTTTCTGGAATCAAATGTGAAAAAGTGATGTGATTCAGCCCAGAAAGAAAAGAAAAATCATTAGTTGATGCAGAGAATGTGGGAAAAATAGACATCCAGATATACATCCCAGTGGGAGACTCAGAAAAGGCATGACAAACATAATCAGCAGTTTAGAAATACTTCTTTTTTCAGTCTTAAAGTATAAAAGATGTTAGAAACTAAGTTCTGGAGTACAGGCCTTAAGAGAAGCAAATCAGGCAAACTATTATGTGAAAGCAGCCATGCAGTTTGAAAATACAGCAGAAAAATGTAGCTTCATTTAAAAAAAAAAAAAAAAAGCATGTCATCATTCATAAAAGAAAGGAGGAGAGTCCTAATCTCCTAATCATGTGCATCTTAAGGGTGGCGTTGCTGGTGATTAGGTAATGAGGCTCTGAAGCAGACCATTTAGCCAGCAGCAGGCTCTCAGGACTCCTTCTGAATCTCTGGCACGGGTGGGAGCAGGTGATGAGGGGAGATAGCGAGTAGTGCATCTGCCACACAAGAGCGGCAGCCTTTAACATTAACAGTGGGTTACACTTTCTAAAACCTATTCAAACTGTTACACTTAAGCACTGTGATCCATTTAAGTTTAAAATCTGATTTAATTTACCTCTAAAACTCATTAAAACTTTCTCAAAACTCACCAGCTTCTCAGACTAATCCCATATTATAGAAAAGCTACGTTTTCCTGTTTACTATTAGAAATATATGAAGCAAGAACAATTTTTTGAGTGAAATATTATGTTTTTTTTTCTTTCTTTAGATATACACAGTCTATAGATAAATCTATAGAAAAAAATCTGTAGGACAGGTGCGAAACCTTCAGATGCAACATTTCTAATGATGAAAAGTCTGTCTCTTAAAATGCTATCCAGCATGCGTCAGCATGGTTTTATCTGGTGAAATAAATCTAAGCTATTATTATGGGGCCTAGATATGGATCTGAATGCTTCATGTTTTACATTCTGCTGTATCTAATTTTAATTCTTGCTCTAAAAGAAGTTGCTCTTGACTTGTTGTTATGTTGTGTTGACAGAGCCAACCACTGTAAAAAATGTTGTCCACCGGGTAGCCTAACTACATTCATTCACTTTGAAAACAAGTTATAACAACATTTTAATCGTAAAAAAATAAATAAATGTTGCATAGTTCAAAGTAGC